ATTCTCAAGTTCAGTACTTGAATTTATACCTGACAGCCAGGAAATGCCACACTTGGAAGACCATGCATGAATCTTTCATCAAAACAAATGATGCATAATTTGAATTCTAATTACAGTCGGTGGTTTAGATTTTTTTTGTGGTTTTAGAGTCTTCCAGGGACTGTGGATGATTATGGAAAGACGATGATGATGATAGTAGTGCTCAACAGACCACAAAGATGGTGATGATAAAAATGATAAGAAAAAAAACTGATAGATTGATGATGTGATGGTGTTCCATGACAATAATACGACTTGGATCTAAAAAATTAGAAAAAAAAAAAAACAACAATGCCAACTTAACCCGTGGGTGGGTTAGTTGTGATTTAACATCAACTTTTAAAACTGGCGACTGGTCCTTTCTGTAAACCAGCCCAACAGGTGTGGAAAGCTCAGTAACAACTAAGATGAAACCATTTATGTACATAATCTTGTCAGTAAAACGAATACATCTGAAAGTCCTCCGATTTCATAACTTATCTGACACAAATGTACACAGTCAGTGTCTGCTACGTGAATTTTCCTGTTTTGTTTCCTTCTGTTTTCCTGTGAACCGAGGTTGCCCCAAATGGTAGCAGAAGTGCCACGGAATTGTATTGATAACTGAATGCCCGTATGATAAGGGAAATGCTTGTTTTGACGTTAACAAGCATGAACATTGACCATCGCACAAAGGGGGATTAATTACCCCCCACCCCAGGGTCGACACATGGGCTCAAGGTACGGCTGAACAGCACTCTATCCTAGACTTGTGGTGTGATTTCAGAGTTCATGTATGGTAACTGAAGGTCTAAATAGCCATGGAACAGACTCATTGTGCCCACTAAGTCACATGACCTGTAGTGGATATCAAACAGTGTTGTCCATCATAAATAAAGCCAATTTTCGGTATATTAGAAGTCTGTGTACTTTACTGATTATTGGCTTTATTTTTGGTATACGACACTTATGACACACTTTGCTATGGGAGGACGCCATGTTAGTTGGTGTATGACATCCACTATAAGGTCATGTGACTTAATGTGTGCAATCGGTCCACTGTATCTGAATTGGGCAAGTCCCCAAGTTTATGACTTACAAACATACCCCATCATTCCAGATTCCAATATACTTTCAAACTTGGGCACAAGCCTGGAGGTGGTATCTCTTTCCAGTTAATCTTGGTGTCAAGTGGACTTTCATGCCTACTTTTTTGCTTGGTTTTGCCTTTGACTGGAACCTTGACTCCACTACGACAGTGTAGCTATACAACAGACTGGTACTATTTAAGCGAAGAAAACTCAATTTTGGTGCTACCATCACCAACATGAAATGCATGTCTCTACATTTTAAAAACTGAGTGAAAAGTTCAAAAATGCCAAAAAAAAACCCCTGGGTGCAAAGAGTTGTACACAGGTCCATGAAATGAGGTCATCACTGGCCAATCGCAGGTAGTCCAGACTTGTGCTACTCTGAGTCAATCAAATGCTCTGTGACTTGGGCATTACTTGGGTGCAGTTTTTCTCCAAGTTACTAATGATCAGACTTGTTAATGAACTAGTCTTTTGACAGACTAGCAGAGGCTATGTGACGGACTTCGTGCAAGGGTGAATCCTGAACTAAGCCAAAATGGGGGGGGGCATAACATTTGGAAAGTTCCTGTGTAACTTTTTATGGCCTTTCTGATAGGGTGATAGGGGTTTTTATTACATAAATTTGGACGGAAGGCAAATGAAATTGTTAAAAAAAGTTCATTATTTTGTTCAAAACAAATGGAACTTTGGCCTCCGTTATGGACTCATGATGGACAAGTGACTAAGACAATGACTCTGCCTGGATCATCTACCAAGAAAACTATGCCCTAAAATGACCAGGAATACACATACTTTTAAAACAGTTCCTCATTACTAAACTAATCCGGCCTTTTGCCCCGCAATGTTTAATTAAAGACCTTGACACTGTGTGAAATAAATTACACATTGTCCTAGACAAGAAGGACGTTATCACAATTATATCTCTCTTGCTTGGCGATTCAATGACTCGCCACTAACAATAAATATAGGCTTGTTCCTAGACAGTAGAGGTACCGTATTCAAATCACGTCATGTTCCCTGTGTTCTCAAGGGGAAGGGACATGAAGTATCTCACGACTTGGACAGTTATTTGTGGAGCATGGTCATGAACACAGCCAAACTGGGCCGACACAAGGAACATGACATGATGGGTGAATGCGGAAAAATGAGGCTGCGCCATTCTGCACGGAAATACACAAATGATGCAAAATGCAAACTGATCATTGTTGGCGAGTGCCTGTGATCTCCACCGCAGATCTTTGAGCCTGAAATTGGTTATCGTGTTGCGCACTTGGTACTGGTTTGTCTAATGCGTAACAGTACAGTCTTGTGAGAGCTGGTTCCCACTTTCCTGCTAGTCTAGATACCGGACTTTAAAGTACCAGAACCCAAATGAGTGCCTATTGAAATGTTTTGAGTTGACCCTGCATCAAGAGGCCACAAAGGCAATGATAGCTAGGTGTTTTCCAATTGTACGTCTGGGTATTGTTATTCAAGTGGTGTTCAAACAACTGGGGCTAGATGTGTCCCTGAGAAGGACATTTTGCCTCAATCTGCTCACCACTCATGCTTACATTGGATGAAGGTTCCATTATTTGACAATGCCATAAAAGTTTTGTAAAACCGTGAGTGGAACACAACTTTAAAATCTCCTAATTTTTCAAAACAGTATCAACTGTCTTCATCAGTTTTTGCATTTCACATGGAGTATGGCCCAGCCTCTAATCTACTGCCTGTATCTGATGGTCCGTTTACGATCAGCTCCTCACGCAAGCAGTTTCTGCGCTTCTCTCAGCCGGTGGACGTGTTTGTTCCTGATGACTTTGCGTCCATGCCCAAGCGTCGGCGCCTGATCATCATCTCCTCCTTGCACTTCTGTGAGATGACATTGCGGACTGAGCACTCGCTGATGCCGAAGGTCGAGGTGACTTTGTCTGCAGGGGTAAATGTTGGAAACACAAAGGGACTCGATTTCGATCTAGGAAAGTGCTGCTGTCTCAATGACAAAAGATTTGAACAACTTGTCTAGAATGTGAGCTAGTCGTCCACAGAGCATCCTTGCTGTGAATTGCATCCCAGATCCGTCCAAATTTTTCTTGATGTTTCAAAGTAAACAAACTTTCCTTGAAGAATGGAAAAAAAATTGCCCTTCCTGGGAAAACCTGTTCCTAAAATTATTTCAAATAACTGAAAAAATAAAATAACTCTATGATCAGCAATTAACATACCACGTACAATAAACAGTGCCAGAAGTGCTAGACAATGCCATCGTCATTATCCGCCCATTTTAGATGTGAATCTACTCGGTTGCTGGCCACCTACCTACAACAGCCCTGACAAGCTGCAGATCCACCTATCCTTTAGTCAGACTCCTGCACTTGACCCCTTGACCCTGGAATGCCATCCACCGACCTACATGTACAACAGGTTTCATCACCTGCACTTTGGTCAATGTCTCAGATTTGACACCCTCCCTTGACCCTGGGATGCTATCCACTTACCTGTGACGGCCTTGACCAGCTGCATTTTGGTCAGCGTCCTCCATTTGATCCCTCCATCCTTGACCCTGGGATGCTATCCACTTACCTGTGACGGCCTTGACCAGCTGCATTTTGGTCAGCGTCCTCAATTTGATCCCCCATCCTTGACCCTGGGATGCTATCCACTTAGCTGTGATGGCCTTGACCAGCTATGTTTTGGTCAGCGTCCTCAAATTGATCCCCCCCAGCCTTGACCCTGAGATGCTATCAACCTAGTTACAATGGCCTTGAAAAGTTGTGGCTGAAGCTGTGCTTGGTCAGTGACTTGGACTTTACCATCCCTCCCTTTGACCCTGGGATGAAATCCACCTACCTACGACAGTCTTGACCAGCTGTGCTTTGGTCAGCCATCTTGGACTT